AAGAGACAGGAGGAGGTTATTATGAGTAGAATACGAACAGGCCACTGCTTTTTAAATGGTACTCTTTTTAGGATGGGGAAACATCCGACTGGGTTGTGTGATGGGTGCAATGCTATGGAGACAGTTGAGCATGTGCTTCTTAGTTGTAGGAAGTATGCAAGTCAAAGGAGGGTGATGTGGGGTGAAATGAGCATCGTTCTCCTTCGTTTTGTACATTACTTTTTGGGGGGGCAAAGAAAAAGCAAAGTAGCGCAAGGGAGGCCTCGTCTGTGTCCAGCACGAAAATGACCTCCAGATCTGACCTCCTCCTGCTACCTTTTATTGGGAGACAGTTCACACAAAACACGTCAGAACAAAACCACACCCACATGGTCCTAAGATGTGTGAACTTCTGTAATTTAAGTAAGTGTGTGTGTGTGTGTGTGTGTGTGTGTGTGTGTGTGTCAGACCTCCTGCTGACCAAAGGGTCATAAACCCAGGAAGCTTACATCAAATGAAACAGAACTTTCAGATAGGATGTATCTACAATAAAACCTCCCCCAGCACAGAGTGGTTGGAGAGGTGGTCAAAGCCAAAGGAATGGCTTTGATCCTACTGCTTGAACTAAGACTGTACAAATTTAAGAAACACAATGGCAACATTCAACAATTAGACTTAACAGTTTAGGTGCGAGATATTCTTTCCTTGTTTGGACCGAATGTTGCAGGAGCTAGCAGACAGATTTTCAGGGGCAGGACAGAAAATAATGGAGGGCATTCAGGCATGCAATCTATCCTCCCCAACATTCCTTTCCGAAAATGCCTTAAAACCTATTGTGGCACACTACCATGTGATGATAAAGCCTGAAAAACTTGAGAGAGTATTAATGTATCTTTCCTGACTTCAAATGGGCTAAACCATTCATGGCAGACAGAATCCGAGGGGGACAAACTGAGCAAATTTCACTATGCCTGGTGCACGGGGAAAAATTATCAATATGCTTTTTGTGACCTTTCTGTTTGGTGGTGTGCTGTGTGATTTTTTTTTTTTTTTTTTTTTTCTAATGTGAAATATGTGCTGTGGCTCCAAAAGGTTGGAAACATTGTGCTTATTTATAGAAAATACAATTCATAATAAAGCATCAGAACAAAAACTGTAGAGATGGGATTTTGTGTTCTCATCTTCAGTGCTGGGTGACAACACATTCTCTCAGTTCTCTGCCTTCAAAAACTTTTCTCCCATCACCACTGAGCAGAAGTTTGGAGGACTTTTTCTGTGCTGGCTTTGGTTTAGGATTTCTTGTTACACTAAAATCAATACACCTGGCATAAAGAGTAGGGAAAAGTTATATCTGGTGTTTGCCCAGTACTACGAAGCAGGATTTCATCTTATCCACATAATTTCAGTACTATGAAGGTCACTTCTTAGATTGCTATGATAACCATGATTACCATGCCATGGTTATGCTGTGAATGGTTAGATCAGCAGGTATGAAATCACTGTCTACTAATCAATCAGATCTCTGGAAAACTGCATTACCATTCCTGGAAGATCCCTCAGACTGCTGTACACGGGCATTAGGGGAGTGGTAAAATTCTATTTTTACATTTATTCGTTACTGTCAGACTGTTCAACACCACTACAAGGTTCTTTTAAATTTAATGAGAAGCATTAGATTTTCACTTACACATTCTCCATTTTTATCTTTCCTGACTTCAAATGGGCTAAACCTTATAAAGACATTAGGTCTTTTCCAGGCTTACAGACCAAAGCACTTACAGCACATACTTTTAATACTATATTATGCTGCAGTGCTTTTCCTCTTATAGACATTCCTGTGTTGCTTTCAGTCTTTCTGTATTGTGTGTTCAACCTTTTTATTAATCAAAATTAAAATTCAAAGGACAATCCAGAAACATTGAGGCTGGGATACTTTTCCGTTTCTAAAGGAAGACTTAATGGAATCATTTCGCAGACTCTTTGCTGTAAAATGATTCAGCGCGCAGTTTGTGCAATTTGTCAACTGAATGTCACCCACACCAGCTCATGGCTTATTAAACACACACAGAAAACACAATAGACTGCTTAGTGAAAAAGCACAGGCACACATTTGCTAATTAGTAATTAAGTGTCAAAGTACAGTAGAGGTCCAAACTGTTTTTAAACCAAGGTGTAAAAATGTGTTTAATATAAAAATCTGTTTAATGAAGCCACATGCATCAATTCTATTTAAATGAACATCTCCCTTCATGACAACTGTATGTGATTTCGTTTTCTAACTCACTAATTTAAAGTTCAGGGGTGCAGTGACTTTGACCAACAGGAGGGGGATACCTGTATCTGCTAGTATCTGCCTTTTGGAGAATTTATCAGACAAATTACATGTCTTGCTTTATAGGTAATTGCGATTTTATTTATTTTTTTTATACATTTTTTATGATTTGGCATGCAAGCATGGCTAGTATGGCTATTTTATTTGATATTCTGAGATGATTTAGCTCAGGATATCAAATCAACACTAATGATTTATTAGGAAAAGGAAAAAGGAATAACTTTAGTATCTATTGATTTTACTTAGAATTTGCAAATGATCCCTAAAGCACCGCAACCTGTTATATAATAATAATGGATTGGATTTATATAGCGCTTTTCAATGCCACTATTCATTGGTAAATGGCCTGCATTTGTATAGCGCTTTTCTAGTCATTAAGGACCCCAAAACGCTTTACACTACATTCAGTCATTCACCCATTTGCGATAGCAAGCTACAGTGTAGCCACAGCTGCCCTGGGGCGCACTGACAGAGGCGAGGCTGCCGGACACCGGCGCCACCGGGCCCTCTGACCACCACCAGTAGGCAAACATGGGTTAGTATCTTGGCCAAGGACATTTGGCATGCAGCCTGGGATCGAACCACCGACCTTCAGATTAGTGGCTGACCTGCTCTGCCACCTGAGCTACAGCCCCCATTCGCTCTCACATTCACACACTGGTGGAGGCAAGCTGCCCTGCGGCAGACTGACAGAAGCGAGGCTGCCATATTGCGCCATCGGCCCCTCTGGTAGGGTAAAGTGTCTTGCCCAAGGACACAACAACCAGGACAGAGAGCCCAGGGATCGAAGCGGCGACCTTCCGGTTACAGATGCGCTTCCCAACCCCCTGAGCCACGGTCGCTGAGAATATTATGGGGCCTGTTGATAAAAATTTAATAGATTTCCTTTCATCAAATTATATTCCAAGTCATATATAAGTCATATATATATATCCAAGAAGGTATTGGAACCGGAGAATGAACGTTTTGCGGTGCTGAAAATGCTTGCATTTGATGCGGTACTTGGATTGTTTTGCCACGAGTTCCCGGCATGCAATGCGCGAAAGTCACGTGGTCTGTCAATCTCTATTAGATTTCTTCTTCGTCTTCTTCTGTTTTACTGGCAGTTGGCGACCCATTTAATTAGAGCAGGTAGCTGTACTGTCCTCTAGTGGAAGAGAATGTAATTGTTCTGCCCATTACTCAAGCTGGTTGCTTAGAGTAGACAGCACACAGTGTGAAGAGCCAGTGACACTTTCTGCTTTGGAAGCAGTAAAACTTTAAACTCTTTGAACTCTCAAAACAAGTTCATGCTCCTCACCACATGAACAACGGTTTAATTTGCAGTGTAGTGATTTTAAAAAAAAAGATGAGTTGTTGGGTTACTAAAAGTTAGAAAAAACCTTTTTGTTTGTTTTTTGTGTTTTGTTTTTATTTAGCACCTGTAGTTAGGAGATGTCAGCACTTGTTATCATGGTAGGGTGGCTCACTGTTTGGTGGATAAAGCCCATCTTCATGAAACAAATCCCTCACTGTTAGACTAAGATTGTATTTTAATTTTTTTCATATGATGATACTACTTTACCTAAACTTGAGTGTCAAATGTTTTGTTTTAGTGTTCAACATAAATCTAACATTTCAAATACTCTTTATAGATAGATCAATCAGGTTTAATCATTTGTTTTCTGTAGTATGAACCCCCAAGTGAATGCCTTTTGTTAAAAGATCCTTTAACAATTCTGATCTGCTCTTCTATTCTTTCAAGTTCAGTTTAAAATTCACTCAAGGACACTGCTGAGAGTAGTATGGAAGTAGGTTGGAGTCTATCCCTGTTGCCATGGGGCGCAAAGCAGGTACGCCACAGACACAAGCATTCACATCTGCATCCAATTTTAGAATCACCATTTAACCTAACTAACTAAATGTCTTTAGACTGTGGGAGGATACCTGGAGATAACCCACACAGTATTAAATCAGTGGTTTGTAGAACCACCTTTACCAGCAATAACTTTAAGTAAGTTTACTCTATGACTCTATTGCGCCCACTCTTCTTTACGACGGTGCTTCAGTTCATTGTGGTTTGCGGACATAAGTGCCTTGAGGCACTTGTTGTGATTTGGCGCTATATGAATAAAATTGAATTGAATTGACATTGTTTATGCACAGCACTTAAGTAAGATTGAGGTCTTTACTTTGCCTGGGCCATTGCAACACAACACGCTTTTCAAGCTACTCTGCTATAAACTCACTAATTGCAAATTGTGGAACCAGGACTGAGAATAAAATCATGAAAAGAAAATGAGCAAACAACAAAACACACACACACACACACACACACACAAAATAACATTAACTCATATGGTTTCAAAATGATGTTTTCAAAAGGAAGTTTTTCATATGTATTTATTATTTTTAGCTACACACCCCAAAATTCAGTATTTAACGAATAAGGCCATTTTAGGAAAAGTCAGAAAATGTGAAACGATGGGATTTTGTTTAAACGGAGTTGCAGAATGTTTGGATTGCCAAGTGGGTCAAAATCACTCGGTGTTCTTTCATGATTAACAATGGAGAACAAAAACATTCAGTAAGAGCAAACTAAAGTATCCAATATTTGGATTAATCCGCCCACCCACAATGTCCAACCAAGATAAAGAGCTCACCTACTTCTTAAGTAGTCCGTCCTCTAACAGACTGGAGCAAAACCTCATTGCATCCACTTGACATGGACTTCTCCATCCGCACGGCAAACCTGGATGACTGCAAGGACATCATGCGGATGATCATGGTGAGCTGACACATCCTCACTCATGCAGTCCAGCTGTGTGTGTGATCAGAGGTGGGTAGTGATGAGTTAGCTACACTCAAGTAAGTTTTGGAAAAAAAAAAACTTTTAAAAGTACTTTTATTGCACCATACTTTTTACTTGAGTACATTTGTGAAGAAGAAACATTACTTTTACTCCACTATATTTGGCAATATTTGACTCATTACTTTTCTTTTACACATTAGATCAGTCTTTTACAAACTGTGGTACGCGGGCTCTCTCTGGTAGTACGTGGGTGTAAACATACACGGCAGACCCAGTGGCATTTTGATGCTTTTTATTGAAGCTTTGACGGTTGCTGTCCACAATACTCACAGAGCTGCAGCTCTCCCGCTGCCCGCTCAACATAACACCAACAACCCAACCACAGGACCTAGTACAATATTTAATTCGGCGGGGCGTGATTGCGGATGCCGTGCAGGTGCGTCCGCCTCCTCTGCACGGCACCGCAGGCCACGCCCCGCCACAGTGGGGAATCTACAAATTTTTTTGAGATTAAATAATATACCATTGTGGAGGTTGTTAAAATCTCCCAATTCTTTTAATCTTTGGGCTGAAGGAAGGACAGTACTCAGTGTATAAATGCTCAATCAACAATTAATTTATTACATACAATTCAACACTATATGAGCATAAACCATCCGGATGGGGAGACATGCATGAAGAGGGTCACAGCAAATCTCAAAATGGTGGAGGGTTACTCAGCCTCTTATAGCCTCTAGTGGCCCCCACTTAGTCGTAAAAACCTAAACATTCACATTCTTTCTCTCTTACAGCGCCTAAGTGACGGCCTTGGCTCCCTGTTTTATCTTCTCCTTATGAGATGGGGCAGAAAACCTCTCCGGTATGCTCTGTTCTCTTCTAATCAGACAAATAAGGCCATAACTCTCTGTATTTCTTATAACTCAGCAGTATAATCCATCATAAAACAATATCATTCATTCACAATAAATCAGCAGTCTAATGTAATACAAATCAGTTTAATAAATCTAATAGTTATCACCTCTTCAGGAGAATAATGCAAACTAAAACTACATAATAGTCTCACAATCTTTAATTAGGGGTGTAACGTGGCATAAGATAATATAATAATCTCACAAGGTATACAACGACAACACGTGAGTTCCTGAGGCTCTTCTGGGAGCCAGAGTCAACCAGAAAACGTCTCCCCGAGCGTGAGTCCTCTATGAAGAGCAGCCTTTCCTTATTGCCAGCGGTCACGGATAGGGTTGCCAACCGTCCCTTTAAAAACGGAATCGTCCCATATTGAGCTAATAAGGGACGCACTTTGTCCCGTAATACAGTGAGAATCAAAAGTAGTCTATAAATGTTAATGGAATTAACGCTTTGTTTGAAAACATAATTCCCAGCCCCTCTCCTGCTTTGTGACCAATGAACTGACAGCACACTTATGACAATTCGAGTATGACAATTCAGATTTGTTTCCAACAGGGAAACAAATGCGGACACTGCGGTGCAAGTCTCAGACGACAGTACACCTAAAGCTGGGCAGACACTGCGATTTTTTCAGTCACATTATTCAGCTCCTGCTCAAACTGCACGATTGACTCGCAGGGGTTAGAAGTTGGTAGGTCACGATGCAGGGTCTCACACTATACCGCCCGATGCTCTGATGCGACCTGAGTGCTCACACTGTGCCTCCTTAAAATGAAGGTTATAACAGAAATTCTGTCACTCGCTCGCTCTCTCTCCCTCTCTGTCTTTCACTCACACAGACACACCACCACCATCAACTTTGCTAAATTGCTAATGAAAAACACTGGTCAGGCAGCTGTTGTAGCGGTAGACTACTGTTCCCATAAGGCTGTGTGTGGGGGGAGCTTCCGGGTTACGAGTAAAGTTGGAACACATCACCCGAACACGCTGCGTCCAGTGTCATCATTTATACGTGGTGTCAGAAGTGCGAATGGCGGTCTCCACAGTTTTTTTTTTCTTCTTCTTTTTCGAGTACAGTACTGTGCAGTTAACTGCGACAGAAGTTTTCGCATTGGTAACCCGAACAAGACCGGCATGCAGGTGAAGCGTGGCCGAGGCTGTGACCGGCGCTAGCAACAGGGCGCGTGCGCGCGTGCGGTCGAGCACGAGCTTCACATGTCGGAAGGAGGAGACGAGGTCGGCGCACCGGAAAGCTTGGATTCTGAACGCGAGGAAGCCAGGGATCCACACGTCAAGATGGCGACCACGGTACAAATAACACCCCCAGAAACATTTGACTTTTCTCATCCTGCCGAATGGCCAAAGTGGATCAGAAGGTTCGAAAGATTTCGCATTGCAACTGCTCTTGATAACAAATCAGACGAGTATCAAGTTAATGCACTCCTGTACGCTATGGGAGACGCTGCTGATGATGTTTTGGCAGTTTTACCACTGTGCGATGCAGACAAAAAGAAATATGCAACTGTCAAAGAGGCATTTGACAAACATTACGTAGGAAAACATAACGTAATTTTTGAAAGAGCACAGTTTAACTCCAGACGGCAACAGGAAGGGGAAAGTACAGAGTCGTTCATCACTGCTGTGCACAAACTTGCAGAAAATTGTGCATTTGGAGCACTCAAAGACGAACTCATAAGGGACAGAATTGTAGTTGACATAAAAGACAAAAGACTGTCCGAGCTGCTGCAAATGGACTCAGAGTTGACTCTTGCTAAAGCCATTGAGAAAGTTAGGCAGAGCGAAACGGTAAAGAAACAACAATCAATACTTCACAGCAGCGCGGCAGTGGAGAAAACACTGAACATGGACACAATACGGACAAATACAACACGCGGGAAAACGCAGACGTGGCAAAAGAAAGAACAAAAGCCAATCAAGCAAAGCGGAAAGGAATGTGGCCGCTGTGGTCGCAAGAACAAACACTCATGGAAAGAATGTCCAGCCAAAGAGGTACAGTGTCGAAAATGTCAGAAAAAAGGGCACTTTGATGCGGTCTGTCGCAGTAGTGAAGCTACAGCGCTACGCAAAGTGACAGAAAATCAGAAAGATGCAGACAGCGAGGATTGTGTGTTCTTGGGTGAAGTAGAGACTGGGAGGTCACAGCCCTGGGTGCAAAAGGTCAAGTTAAATGAGGAAAATGTATATTTTAAACTTGACACAGGGGCGGATGTTACATCTATTCCAGAGGGTTTGTAAAGTCCAGACAGGGATGGTAAGCTGCAGAGACCCAGAAAGAAGTTACTAGGGCCGGGCAGTAACCCACTCAATGTTAAAGGCTGCTTCGAGGCACAGCTAGCAGTGAAAGGGCGCAGTGTTTCTCAAGACGTCTACCTTGTGTCAGGTCTAGTACAGCCACTGCTAAGCAGGCCAGCGTGTGAGGCTCTGGGTCTTGTGTACAGAGTAAGCACAGTAACGGAATCGGTGACAAATTTCAGGGCAGCATACCCAGACGTTTTTAAAGGTTTAGGCGTGCTGAGGGAGCCTTATCACATTTGAGATAGAGCAAGGAGCTGTACCAATAGCCTTATCTGCCCCACGACGTGTTCCTCTTCCCCTCAGAGATGCAGTGAGAAATGAGCTGCACAGAATGGAAGAAATGGGTGTTGTCTCCAAAGTCACTGAGCCTACAGAGTGGTGTTCTGGCATGGTAGTGGTCCCCAGACCAGCAGGAAAGCCCCCCAGAATATGTGTGGACCTCACACCCCTGAACACAGTAGTCAAAAGAGAAAGACACATCCTCCCAGCAGTAGATCAAACACTAGCGATGATGAAAGATGCTAAAGTGTTCACAAAGCTCGACGCCCGGTCTGGATTCTGGCAAATTCCGCTCACGCCAGAGTCAAGGCCACTCACTACCTTCATCACGCCTTTTGGAAGGTTTCAGTTCAACCGCCTTCCTTTTGGCATTGCATCAGCGCCGGAACATTTCCAAAGGCGAATGTCACAGATGCTGGAAGATTTTGAAGGGGTGATTTGTCACGCCGATGATGTGCTTGTATATGGCAGAGACAGGCAGGAGCACGACCAGAAGTTGCACTGTGTGCGCCAAATGTTTCAGAAGGAGGGTCTCACTCTGAATGAGAAGTGTGAGTTTACTAAAAGTCAAATAATCTTTGTGGGACACAAAGTGTCAGCAAAAGGCATTGAGGCTGATCCCAACAAGATAACAGCAATCCAGCAGCTGCCGCAGCCTCAGAGCGTGGAAGATGTGCGCCGTCTCATGGGCATGGCCAACTATCTTGCCAAGTTTATGCCACAATTAGCCACAATCACCACACCATTAAAGGAGCTGCTAAAAGACAGAAACGTGTGGATATGGGCGGAGCCACAGGAAACAGCATTTAGGAGACTAAAAGGGATATTAAGCTCTCCAGAAGTGCTCGCTCAGTACTTCAACTCAGCAGATACACGTGTCGCTGCAGATGCTTCGTCATACGGTGTCGGGGCTGTTCTCACTCAGAAACAGTCTGACAACTCCTGGCGACCGGTCACATATATCTCAAGAGGTCTCACAGACACAGAGAAACGCTACGCGCAGATAGAAAAGGAGGCGCTCGCTGTAACGTGGGTGTGTGAACGACTGTCATCTTACCTCATGGGCCTACAGTTCACTCTAATCACAGATCACAAACCCCTGGTCCCTCTTCTGAGCACAAGAGGCCTGGACGACCTGCTTCCACGCATCCTGAGATTCCGCCTCAGGCTGCTGCGCTTTACTTTCACCATTGTCCATGTTCCAGGGAAAAACCTTGTCACTGCTGATGCTCTCTCACGAGCACCGCTGGCAGGGCCTCCTTCTGCTGGGGATCTTCAGCTGGAAAAAGAGGTGGAGGTTTTCGTGGACGGTGTAGTTTCCCATCTCCCAGCAACAGATAAAAGGCTGGAGGAGATTAAGTTGGCGCAGGAAATGGATGACCTGTGTAGAAAGGTGGTGTATCAATGTGGGACAGGCTGGCCAGAAAAAGGTAAACTAGATCCAGAGTTAAAGGGGTACTGGCAATACA